TCTTAAGATCCAATAGTGCAAAATGCAAATTCTTGCACTTTTTTGACTGGTCTTAAGATTTTGATCAGGAGTGTATTATTTGGATTGATCCTGTCACCTCCACCTCACTAATGTAAAAGTCAGATGAAATGCGACATGAGCATTCAGACTGCAGTTGCTTTGGACAACATCAGATATATGTATATACACTGAAAAGGCCTGGGTCAGGTTTCAGTGTTGCAAAAAAWTTGATATGGCTCGCATTTGCCTGCAGTGTGAACGTAGCCTAGAAGAAAGTAATCATTTAAAAACAGTAAAAACTTTATTTAAATCTGGTTTAAATTGTAAAGTTGTAACTTTCTGCAGAGAACACACTATTCCTGGCTCTTTCCCCATACTTTTGGCATTTTTGCATTGWAAGGCCCAACCTGGGTCCAAACTAGGGTTCTGCGTGTTTGAATTTGCCATTATGACCCACCTTCAGCCTGATTTATRGAACCCAGAGACCTGGGGTTCTCTTCAAGCTTGGCTGCCTGGACCAATTTGACAACATCTTGCTCTGTTTCAACTGGTTTTGAATTTTAAAAGGCATTTCTGGATTGTAAGGCCCGGCTAAGCCCCTGCCCCGGCTCCAATGGACTGGTTGTGTTTGCATTGAGCGGAATGCGGCCTTGATGTAGGCAKGATCATAATATTAAACATGCAAATCTTATTTCATTTTATTTGCAACACAACAATAATGGACTACACCWAACTCAAAGGCAAAGTACTGAAGACTGAACTGAAGCATCAAGCAGTATGACACTTTAGACGAGAGGGCAAGACGATGGAGAATGGTAAGCTMATGGTAGTTAACGTTAGCTTGTTTTTGTTTGGTAACTTGCTCTTGTTGTTGGTAAACCCACTGCAAACAAGTCACGTAAAGTTACTCATCTGTGTGACATAACCTCCCGTCAGTGAATCAATCAGTCAAATTTGGATAGAACCACTGGTCAGAAATCGGGGTGAAACTKGGCCATGAGGGCTAAGCAAACACGCTGAAYCCARGTTTGAAGCCAAGACCTTGCAGACCTATAGAGAATGAAGACAAGTACCACAAGCTTGATGTTGTCCATTGTTGTATCACAAATAAAATTAGACCACATAAAGATTTGCTTTTTTTTGATTTGATGGTTCTCATCCACATTGAGGCAGCACTGTAAACCAGGACTGGGATAGAATAAGGCCAGGCCRACTGTGGCTGTGCTGTGCCAAGTYTTATAATGCAAAAATGCCATTTTAGTGTTCCCTGGTAGTTCAGCYCCGATTTCTTGCTATCAGTTGAAGGTCATCTTTGCTCATGTAATCCTAAAAAAATCAACCAGGGAGTCTCATCAAGAGTCTTTAAGATTAAAGAATTGCATCATATCTGAAGGAAAACMATGGTTATTATTATCTGAAACATTGGATTGCTTTTGGTGAATTTGTCATTCATGGTCAGATTCTCTATGCTTAGTTCAAYGATAATAATGCCTCGTGGAAAACATTCAGAATGCCAACATTTCTCTGCACCACCATTTTGCCTACACTGACAAATTCAGCATTTACCACCTTGTCAGATGTGGCTCTTGTTTTTACCAGCTTGAATTTCAGTGGCATAATGTAAGTTTTAGGTTGTGCKTGTTCACAAAGCACATCCATTTGTCACTTGAACTAAATTGTCACACTTTTGATCTTGGTGAAGTTCTACAAAGTGCTCCACCGTGTGTTTCTCATTCACACACTCTTTCACGGTGCCTCTGTTCGTGCAGTGCCCCCCTTCCCCCTCATTCTCACACARTTGCTTCTGAGCATGTTGGAAATGTGAACTTTAGCRTCAATCCTAAAGTCTTTTTAACACTTGGAGGGGAATCGACATGGTGTAGGAGGTTTAATGTACACCTTAAAGTGGTCTAAAAAGGTTTTCCTGTTCCATTATTTGCATTGTTTTATCACAGAACAGTGAATACGTAAAAGTTTAAAATTAAACCAGGTATGGTTTTTACTTTTATTAGCACTGTGTGCCAGTTACTGATTTCATACAACTTTACAAGCACCTGTTACTTTTACAAAATTTGAATAGCTGATTTGCCTTACTGTACGTGCACCTATTAAACTAAAATGATTATGACTGTGGATATCGACCAGATTTTTTTTTTTTCAGATTTAAAGTCTGGAAATGTGATTCAGTTTCTGGTTTACAATGCATTATCTCTCCTTAGCAAGCTACCAGCTGTAGTATCTAWTGTAATACAAAGAAATAAAGCTCTTTTTCTTTGTTGCTGACAGTTTTTGTGTGTCTG